TTTATATTATCTTGTCACCAAACTAGTTCCTGTTGTCTAGTAGTAGTGGTGTGCATGAGAACATAACATGGCGCAGTGAAGTTTCGTACCTGTGTTTTTCTAGTTGCCCGTGGTGCATCCCGGTTGTGTTCGCACGAGGCCTGCAGGTCCAATTACATTTTATTTATTTCTCTAGTCGTGACCGTCTTCCGAAATGTCAGATGCAGCTGCACCAAGTGTGCCGAGCGCAGATATCGCTGCTCTTGCTGATCTCTTCAAAAAGCAGATGGAGGCAGCCAATGAGCGAGAGAAGCGTCTCGATGCAATTATCACTGGTCTTACTCAACAGAGTCAGCCTCGCACGTCGCCAGCACCGCCAGCTCCAAAGCCTGTCGCGGCGGAGCGACCCATGCTGCTGTCCTCCGCGTCCCTGTCAGAGTTTGCTGCCTGGCAGGAACTGTGGGAAGACTTCTCTCGGTGCCAGCACCTGACAGCACAGTCAAGGGAAACCAGGGTATCTGCCATCCGTCAGTGCCTTGACGAAGACCTCAGACGTTTTATCAGGGAGGGCACCATTGTCATCGCGACCAATCCTGATGCGTGTGACGTCTTGGAGGCGGTCAAGCAGTTTCTTCGCCGACAAAGAAACCCGATACTTGACCGAATTGAATTTTTTAAGCGCACGCAACAGAAAGGGGAATTGTTTGACGGGTTCCACACTTCCCTGAAGGAGTTGTTTAACACGTGTGATTTTGTGGAACACGAGCTCTGTTCTGCCTGTTCGGCACGTGCCTGTTCTACGTGCAAAACTAATCTTGCACGGGTCCACGCGGACATGATGCGAGACCGCATTGTGATCGGTATCCTGGACGACACCACCCGTCACAAACTGTTGTCCACCTCCGACCTGACATTGGAGGCGACAGTCAAGGTGTGTCGTGCAGAAGAGGCAGCCACACAGACCAGCCACCACATCCCTACCGCCGGCCAAGTCAATGCTGCCAGGAAGTCGTCTTATCAGCGCGCGAAGTTAGCTTCACAGCCCCCAGTTGAGGCGAAGCACACTTCTGCTCGTGATAAGTGCCGTAACTGCGGACGCACAGCGCACACGAAATCGCCGTGTCCCGCGATCAACAAAGTGTGCCTTAACTGTAATGGAACGGGTCACTTCCGGGCAATGTGCCGCAGGCCTGCCAAGAAGCCGGACAAGTCGTCCAAGATCGCACACTTGCGACTCAACCGAGCATCTCTGTTGGACGACGCAACAGTTTCCGTTGCCACCCAGCTTGTGACCGAGCCAGAGCCCGTAGCTCTTAGTTGGCTCCCGGATACTGGTAGCGACGTTGATGCCATCGGCACTCAACACCTTGACCAGTTAGGCGGATTTGTCGAGAACCTGCTTGACGACATCGACGATGTTCGTACCGCAGATGGCGCCAGTCTCACCCCTGTTGGCAAGATTTCGGCGACTCTCAGTTGTGGACCAAACCAGCACACGTCCACCATTCATGTCTATGATGGTTTGACTGATGCCCTCCTATCCCGTTCATCCTTGCACGCCCTAGGATACTTGCCGTCCGGCTGGCCGAAGCAAATCGCAGCAGTCCAACAGGTAGTCCCATCGGTCGTTCCCGATGCACCTGCGGACAAGGTTGTGTCCAAAGCCACCGACTCAGAGACGATGAGAGCCGAACTCCTAGCTGAATTCGCTGACGTCTTTGATGACTCTGTGTTGAAGCCAATGCTTGGTGGACCTATGGAAATTAGAGTGCGAGCTGATGCTAAGCCTGTCGCTGCATATCATGCCCGCCAGATCCCGCATGCGTACCGTGACCAAGTGAAGTCCCAGCTGGATGACATGGTCCGGGATGCCATCATCGAGGAGGTCACCGAACCCAGTGCGTGGTGTCACCCAATTGTCATCGTGGACAAGAAGGGGACAAACGAGAAAAGGCTCACCGTTGATTTCAAAAAGCTCAACGACCAAGTCGAACGCCCTGCTCACCCCGCACCAAGCCCTCGTGACGCTGTATCCAGCGTTGGCAACGCAAGATATTTCACCAAGCTAGACGCCCGCCACGGCTATTGGCAAGTTCCTCTGAGCGAGGCCTCCCGTCCGTTGACCACGTTCATGACACCTTGGGGTCGGTACAGGTACCTACGCAACCCACAAGGATTGGTCTCTGCCGGAGACGAGTTTAATCGCCGCACCGACGCCGCGTTCGCTCATATCTCCCAGTTCCAGAAGGTCGTTGATGACTGCCTCGTCTACGATAATGACCTGAACACCCACCGATCTCACGTCCGGGATGTCCTGCTCTGCGCCCGGGAGAATGGCATTACTCTGAGCGCCAAGAAGTTTGTGTTCGGCATGCCAGCCGTGGAGTTCTGTGGTTACCGCATCAGTGCTGACGGCTGGACCGTCGATGATGCCAAGGTCAAAGCTATCAGCCAGTTTCCAGCTCCCAGCAACCGCACTGATCTCCGATCGTTTATGGGTCTTATCAACCAGTGTGGTGAGTTCACCCCGCACCTGTCTGAGCACGCCGCCCCGTTGCGCCCATTGCTCAAGACGTCCAACGAGTTTGTATGGGACTCAGTTCACACAGACGCAGTCAACGCTGCCAAGGCTGAGCTGTTGTCACCATCAACGCTGTCATTCTTCCAACGTGACCAGCCACTCCGCCTAGAGACCGATGCATCTGCTTTGCATGGCCTTGGCTACGTTCTGTGGCAGTTGCAAGATGGCAAGTGGCGCATTCTCCAGTGTGGCAGTCGATTTCTGTCGGATCCAGAATCCCGGTATGCTGTCATCGAACTGGAGCTCCTAGCTGTCGTCTGGGCGGTGAAGAAATGTTCTCTCTACCTCGCCGGTACATTGTTTGAGCTTGTCACCGACCACCGGCCCCTCACACCAATCATCAACTCGTACTCGCTCGATCAGATTGAGAATCCCCGGCTCCAACGCCTGGTCATGAAGCTTCGTCCATACCAGCTGCATGTCACTTGGCGTAAGGGTACTGACAACGCTTTCGCCGACGCGCTGTCCCGCAATCCAGTGGATGATCCTACCCCTGACGATGAGCTCGGTGAACACCCAGCCCTTCGTACTCCTGCCATACGCGCTTGCATTCGGAAAGACACCGAAGGCCAGATTGCCAATCTCCGGTTTGCCGAATTGCAAGAAGCCGCTCGAGCTGACTCGGATTATCAGGCACTCCTCACCACCGTCCGGAACGGATTTCCCGACGACAAACGCGACTTATGTCCTGCTGCCAAGCCGTATTGGACAGTCCGTCATCATCTTACAGTCGACCAGGACCTGGTACTGAAAGGTCCTCGCATTGTGGTCCCGCGTTCCCTCAGGCGTAGTGTGCTTGACGACTTGCATGCTGCTCATCAAGGTCTCAACCGTACCAAGGCTCGTGCTCGCCAGGTGGTGTATTGGCCCCAGCTGTCCAACGACATTGACAATATTGTTCGCAGCTGCGCTGAATGCCGTCACCACGCACCTTCCCAAGTGAAGGAACCGCTGCTGGCAACTGAGGATCGTTGTCCTGCCCTCCCGTTTGAGAGCACCAGCGCGGATCTGTTCGAATGCCAAGGCTACCAGTTCCTGGTATACGTGGACCGCAAGACCGGCTGGCCCTGTGTTGCCAAGATAGGACGCACCGCCACCTCCGCTGACGTAGTCCGTGCGTTCCGAGGCTGGTTCGCGGATCTCGGTGTCCCAGCTGTCCTGACGACTGATGGTGGTCCGCAGTTTACAGCGCAGCGTTTCTCCGCCTTCTGTCAGCGTTGGCAAGTCCGCCACGTCAGATCCAGTCCGCATTACCCACAATCGAATGGCCATGCGGAGGCGGCTGTCAAGGCCATCAAATCTCTCGTGTACAAGACCACCACCAACGGAGACATTAATGTCGACGCCTTCCGTCGTGGCTTATTGGAATGGCGTAGCTCCGGTCAGAGCCCAGCGCAGGCCCTGTTTGGCCGCCCCCTGTCGTCATTCGTGCTTGCCCACCGGACCAGTTTTGCCCCAGCGTGGCAAGAAACCGCTGACGAAATCGACAGTCGTGCCTCTGCCCAGTCTGAAGCAGCCAGTCAGCACTACAACCAGTCTGCCCGTTCTCTGCCTGCCCTCCACCTTGGTTGCCCTGTGGATCTACAAGATCCCCGCAGCAAGTTGTGGAACGCCCGCGGTACCATTGTCGCCATTGGGAGCCACCGCGACTACATGGTCAAGCTTCCCAGTGGCCGAATATACTGGCGAAACCGTCGCTTTCTTCGTCCTGTTGTCTTGCCCGTCGCACCTGCACAGCCGATGCCTGCTACCCCCATCACTCAGCCTGCCCCGCCAGTCCGGCGCAGTCAGCGAAGCCGCCAACCCCCGTCTAGGCTGAATATTTCGAACACTCGTGGCCAAACTTATGATTAGCTGCCTGTGCGTCTTTCTGCCTTTTGCTGAGCTCAGCTATTTTCGTATTCAGTTATCTCTATCTGCTTTGCCGTCCTTTCTAGTTGGTATTAGATGCCTTGTTGTCATCTCAGAAGGGGCGTGAGATACATGTATGTAAATGTAATTGTTATATTTCTATCTCAGAAGGGACGTGATGTATCATGCTAGCTACTCATGTATTGCGCATGTACTTCAAGTTGTTATCACCCGCATAACGCGTATTGTTACGTTATACGCCTTGCTTCACGTGATTACGTCATGTCTCTATTGGACGCATGCACGCATCCATATTCTGGATTCATGTGTTCTTCTCCTTGCTCTTCTTCCTCACTTGAGAATGTAAATAATTAGTTTCTATTATCTTGTCACCAAACTAGTTCCTGTTGTCTAGTAGTAGTGGTGTGCATGAGAACATAACAGCTGTGAATAGTTTAGTCGCAAAGTAAAGATTCACGGGTAAAAAGCCCCAAACTTCTAGATAGTTTCTTTTTCAGCTTTCAGCAGCCCTGGGCGAGTTCTTTAGAGAAATGTGACTCTTTTTCATGGTGCTCTTGTCTATGTCCAGCTAACCAACGAGATGGGGATGGTCATTGTCATTTTCTGAGCTGCGAACGGGCAGAAAGGTGAGAAAATGTCGGATTTTGACCATTTGTGCTGACCTTTCAATTTCAACGTACCTCTCTATAACATGACCCAGCTGTAATTTCAGTGGTCGCATTGGTTTCATTTTTGGTTTGCTTGTAGGGCGCTGGCACCCGCATTCAGTGACCCAGAAAATTTGGCACTGCTGTGAATAGTTTAGTCGAAAAGTGAAGATTCACGGGTAAGAATCCCCAAACTTCTAGATAGGTTCTTTTTCAGCTTTCAGCAGCCCTGGGTGAGTTCTTTAAAGAAATGGGGCTCTTTTTCATGGAGCTATTTTCTATGTCCAGCTGCACAACGAGATGAGGATGGTCATTGTCATTTTCTGAGCTGCGAACGGGCAGAAAGGTGAAAAAATGTCGGATTTTGACCATTTGTGCTGACCTTTCAATTTCAACGTACCTATCTATAACATGACCCAGCTGTAATGTCAGTGGTCGCATTGGTTTGATTTTTGGTTTCCTTGTAGGGCGCTGGCACCCGCAGTCAGTGACCCAGAAAATTTGGCACTGCTGTGAATAGTTTAGTCACAAAGTGAAGATTTACGGGTAAAAAGCCCCAAAAATCTAGATAGGTTCTTTTTCAGCTTTCAGCAGCCCTGCGCGAGTTCTTTAGAGAAATGTGGCTCTTTTTCATGGTGCTCTTGTCTATGTCCAGCTAACCAACGAGATGAGGATGGTCATTGTCATTTTCTAAGCTGCGAACGGGCAGAAAGGTGAGAAAATGTCGGATTTTGACCATTTGTGCTGACCTTTCAATTTCAACGTACCTCTCTATAACATGACCCAGCTGTAATGTCAGCGGTTGCATTGGTTTTATTATTGGTTTGCTTTTAGGGCACTGGCATCCACAATCAGTGACCCTAAAAATTTGGCACTGCTGTGAATAGTTTAGTCGCAAAGTGAAGAATCACGGGTAAAAAGCCCCAAACTTCTAGATAGGTTCTTTTTCAGCTTTCAGCAGCCCTGGGCGAGTTCTTTAGAGAAATGTGGGTCTTTTTCTCGACGCTCTTGTCTATGTCCAGCTACACAACGAGATAAGGATGGACATTTTCATTTTCTGAGCTGCGAACAGGCAGAAAGGTGAGAAAATGTCGGATTTTGACCATTTGTGCTGACCTTTCAATTTCAACGTACCTCTCTATAACATGACCCAGCTGTAATTTCAGTGGTCGCATTGGTTTCATTTTTGGTTTGCTTGTAGGGCGCTGGCACCCGCATTCAGTGACCCAGAAAATTTGGCACTGCTGTGAATAGTTTAGTCGCAAAGTGAAGATTCACGGGTAAAAAGCCCCAAACTTCTAGATAGGTTCTTTTTCAGCTTTCAGCAGCCCTGAGTGAGTTCTGTAGAGAAATGGGTCTCTTTTTCATGGTGCTATTTTCTATGTCCAGCTACACAACGAGATGAGGATGGTCATTGTCATTTTCTGAGCTGCGAACGGGCAGAAAGGTGAGAAAATGTCGGATTTTGACCATTTGTGCTGACCTTTCAATTTCAACGTACCTCTCTATAACATGACCCAGCTGTAATGTCAGTGGTCGCATTGGTTTCATTTTTGGTTTGCTTGTAGGGCGCTGGCACCCGCATTCAGTGACCCAGAAAATTTGGCACTGCTGTGAATAGTTTAGTCGCAAAGTGAAGATTCACGGGTAAAAAGCCCCAAAATTCTAGATAGGTTCTTTTTCAGCTTTCAGCAGCCCTGGGCGAGTTCTTTAGAGAAATGTGACTCTTTTTCATGGTGCTCTTGTCTATTTCCAGCTACACAACGAGATGAGGATGGTCATTGTCATTTTCTGAGCTGCGAACGGGCAGAAAGGTGAGAAAATGTCGGATTTTGACCATTTGTGCTGACCTTTCCATTTCAACGTACCTCTCTATAACATGACCCTGCTGTATTTTCAGTGGTCGCATTGGTTTCATTTTTGGTTTGCTTGTAGGGCGCTGGCACCCGCATTCAGTGACCCAGAAAATTTGGCACTGCTGTGAATAGTTTAGTCGCAAAGTGAAGATTCACGGGTAAAAAGCCCCAAACTTCTAGATAGGTTCTTTTTCAGCTTTCAGCAGCCCTGGGTGAGTTCTTTAGAGAAATGTGGCTCTTTTTCATGGTGCTATTTTCTATGTCCAGCTACACAACGAGATGAGGATGGTCATTGTCATTTTCTGAGCTGCGAACGGGCAGAAAGGTGAGAAAATGTCGGATTTTGACCATTTGTGTTGACCTTTCAATTTCAACGTACCTCTCTATAACATGACCCAGCTGTAATTTCAGTGGTCGCATTGGTTTCATTTTTGGTTTGTTTGTAGGTCGCTGGCACCCGCATTCAGTGACCCAGAAAATTTGGCACTGCTGTGAATAGTTTAGTCGCAAAGTGAAGATTCACGGGTAAAAAGCCCCAAACTTCTAGATAGGTTCTTTTTCAGCTTTCAGCAGCCCTGGGTGAGTTCTTTAGAGAAATGTGGCTCTTTTTCACGGTCCTATTTTCTATGTCCAACTACACAACGAGATGAGGATGGTCATTGTCATTTTCTGAGCTGCGAACTGGCAGAAAGGTGAGAAAATGTCGGATTTTGACCATTTTGTTCTGACCTTTCAATTTCAAAGTACCTCTCTATAACATGATCCAGCTGTAATTTCAGTGGTCGCATTGGTTTCATTTTTGGTTTGCTTGTAGGGCGCTGGCACCCGCATTCAGTGACCCAGAAATTTGGCCCTGTTGTGAATAGTTCAGTCGCAAAGTGAAGATTCACGGGTAAAAAGGCCCAAACTTCTAGATAGGTTCTTTTTCAGCTTTCAGCAGCCCTGGGCGAGTTCTTTAGAGAAATGTGGCTCTTTTTCATGGTGCTCTTGTCTATGTCCAGCTAACCAACGTGATGAGGATGGTCATTGTCATTTTATAAACTGCGAACGGGCAGAAAGGTGAGAAAATGTCGGATTTTGACCATTTGTGCTGACCTTTCTCAGGTATAATAAGGTGATCATGTGTGTACAAAACTTGTATTGGTAATAACTTTGGCATCCATCAATATTTTTCAACCAAATTTTCTGTGTCGATACATTGGGTTAGTTTTCATCGATTTCCGATATCAAATTTCAAATAGGAGCCGAATGACGTCATCAGTGCTACTTTTTATGTTCAGATTTCAACCCAAAACGCGGAGAAAACGAAAAATAGTAAGGCCACAAATCCCGGTGGATTGGGTAGCTTTTGGGCCCTAAATAAAGGATATTGGTGGATATTGTACATAGATAACAACATTTCGCTGGAAACCAGTGTCGATTTGTTTTACCATACACACTGTACACATTTAGTATACAAAGCTGTCGTACCTCGGGGTCTGCTCAGACTCACCACCGCCAAGAACGGGTGTTTAGCATTGATATCCAGCACATTCCCGCTTGCTGGGATGTACAGCTAGCCAGTGCAACAGCTCTCATTCGCCAAAGACATTCCCCACGCTCCGCGTTTATGGAGGAAGCTGTCATTGCTGTTTCAAAATAGCCGACATTGTCTCCTACACACAAATGACTGTGCTGTACTGTACAATGTAGTGCATCACACTAGCTGTACTGTAGATCAACCGACCCGTGCACGCATGCACTTGAGTAGGGCACTTGACTCCCACGCACGATCGCGCTGGTCACAACTGAGTCTGTACGCGACTGTGCTCGTGTTGTTGTGTCTTGCAAGTGCTTTCTGTACTAGCTGTACAGAAACAAGGCAAGTGCAGTTTTCAGTGCATGGACTCGGCTACAGTACTAAAATATTTTGTGGAACAGACAAACCTTCTTTACGATCTTGGTCATTTTTCTCAATCGACTCTGTACTTCAAGCTAGATGTGTCCCGTGGGGTATTGCCCAACTAGAACTGGAGTCCTCACATGCCCCAGGTCGCGCCGAGCTAATCACTTTTGTCAGCAGAACTCCTGATCGCGACTCAACACATTTATTCTGTCCGATGTCATTCCCGCTGCGAGTGGGGAGCTTCATGCGCCCACGATAAAAAAGAACGTCATAATCTTTGAATCCTTCCCCAGAGAAAGCTACTCGAGCTCAAAACGTCACAGGACAATGGCCATGATAATGATTCTCGTGCAGATCGCGATGTGACTCGCCTGCAATCCTCCAAGCTCCAAGTGCTGCCAAAACAGACTGGAAAGAATTTTTCAAAAACAAGATTTAGAAAAAAAGCTGAGCGCTCGAGTGCGGCGAACACGGCCAAACGCCATGTTTTCCTTGGTAACATGACGTCAGCCGCATTATCACCATGGCGAGTTGCAGCGCTGATCTTGAAGTACAGCGGCACCAGAAAAGTGTCCTTATTCTACCTGAGTTCAATTTCTACGTACTTCTCTATAAAATGACCCAGCTGTAATGTCAGCGGCCGCATTGGTTTCATTTTTGGTTTGCTTTTAGGGCGCTGGCATCCACAATCAGTGACCCTAAACATTTGGCACTGCTGTGAATAGTTTAGTCGCAAAGTGAAGATTCACGGGTAAAAAGCCCCAAACTTCTAGATAGGTTCTTTTTCAGCTTTCAGCAGCCCTGGGTGAGTTCTTTAGAGAAATGTGGCTCTTTTTCATGGTCCTATTTTCTATGTCCAACTACACAACGAGATGAGGATGGTCATTGTCATTTTCTGAGCTGCGAACTGGCAGAAAGGTGAGAAAATGTAGGATTTTGACCATTTGTTCTGACCTTTCAATTTCAAAGTACCTCTCTATAACATGACCCAGCTGTAATTTCAGTGGTCGCATTGGTTTCATTTTTGGTTTGCTTGTAGGGCGCTGGCACCCGCATTCAGTGACCCAGAAAATTTGGCACTGCTGTGAATAGTTTAGTCGCAAAGTGAAGATTCACGGCTAAAAAGCCCCAAACTTCTAGATAGGTTCTTTTTCAGCTTTCAGCAGCCCTGGGCGAGTTCTTTAGAGAAATGTGGCTCTTTTTCATGGTGCTCTTGTCTATGTCCAGCTAACCAACGA